CAAGCGGTGCATTGGTGCGCACCCAGGAGCCGGTGGGGCTGCCGCAGCGGAGAGCGTGCACTTAACCGCTTGCGCCACCGGGTGGGCCCCCAAGGGGTACTTTCTTTACATGATAAAACCACTTTTTCTCCAAGTGTATTCCCAAATTGTGTTTAAACGTGGTTTTGAAAAAATTATTTTAGGGGCTGGCCCGGTGGTGCAGTGGTTAAGTTCGTGCGCTCCACTTCGGCAGCCTGGGGTTGGCCGGTTTGGATCCTGGGTATAGGTCTACTCACTGCTCATCAAGCCATGCTGAGGCGATGTCCAACACAGAGCAACTAGAAAGATCTACAACTATGACATACAACTATCTACTGGGGCTTTGGGGAGAAAAAAGGAAAAAAAATGGAGGAAGATTGGCAACAGATGTTAGTTCAGGGCCACTCTTCCTCAAAAAAAAAAAAAAGACATAGTTGTCCTTTAAATAAAAAAAAAACTTATTTTATGGCGTAAGCTTAGATTTTATAACTTTGAGTAAATAGCAAATATAAAAGCAAATAAATTCGTTCAACTGATTCAACCAGAATTTTTTGTTAAATGAAGGTAGATTTTCTTTTCTTCCGAAAATACTATAAAGAAAATGTCGCACTCAAGCTCTGAGGGAAATTTTTAAATTAATTTGAAAAATATTTTAACAATGGCAGTCTGTTGGATTAAGAATGCTGTCATTCAACAAATATTTAAGTGCCTGGATATGGTTTAACCTTACAATGATCAAAAAAATACAAAATAAAAATACAAAATATCATATTCAATGTTAAATTGGCAAAAGTTTTTTTTATATATTATCTTTATGAAGATACCAAATATTACTTTACATTTATGGTGAGTGTAAATTGACAACCTTTGTAGAGTATGGATGGCCTTTAAAATAACTATATCCTCAGACCATTTCACTTCTAAAAATTTGTATTAAAAAATTGCATAGACATATCCAAAGATATGGCTACAAGAATTTCCCTCACAGGTTATTAATGATAGCAAAAAATGGTAGGCCAACAGTGAATGGTTAAATACATATTGGTATTTTGATACAATGGAATACTATATAGCTATTGAAGTAAGTTACCAAATAATATTTAATGAAATAGAGAGATGTTCACTTTATAGAATATTAAATGAAAGATATGTGTACTATATAATCCATTTTAGTTTAAAGAAGTATAGAAATGCATAGAAAAAAAACAAAAAGCTTTACCCTGAAATAATAAACAGTATTTCAGAGCAGTGAATTTTAAGGTAATTTAAAATTTTTTCCTGTATTTTTCTGCATTTAACATGCAACAAGAAAAAAAAAAGCAAATATTTTTTAAAAGTGAAAAAAAGAAAACTCCAGGTGACAAGTATATGTTTAGAGGTTTGCAATGGATAGTGAAACAGCTGGATGGAGTGGCCCATCCTGATTTAGGGCCGACTGTGAGCAGAGGCCTCACCTCTCCCACATCAAAGATGACAACATATAGGTGCATGTGCAAGTGCTGATATTCTTTAGGAAAACAGTCACATTACTTAATGTGCCTACAATGTTTATCTAATCCCAAAAGAATGCAGAACATTTCTAAAACATATGTAATTGATTTTCACTTTTCTTTGCAATTCTCCGTCATCTATTTATTTATTTTTTCTAACAATTATGGTTAAAAGTCTTTCACAATATTGTATAAATACATCTTCACTTTTTTGGGCAGCCATGACTGCATTAAAGCTTAGCCCTTGACAAATTTCATTTATGTTAATCCAGAGCTCCTGGGAGACAGGGATGCTGTTTTATTTACCATGGTACCCAGTATGCAGCAGGCACTAAATAAACACCAATGAAAAGCATTTAGTTGTAAGCTTCTATTCTCAAGTCATTTTTGTTTTATTAGGACCTTTTGTCTTGGTCAGATATATTAACACATGACTTCATAGTGAAAAATGCCAAACTTCTAAAAGAAAATAGATTTTAGTTTCCAAGGAGAGAACCTGAAAAATCTGTGAATTGCCAATTTTCCTTCTTTGAAACCACTTTTATACTACCATATCAATGCAGCTAGGCCTGGAAGAGTGAAATTCTCTTCATATTCAGGGCTGAGGAGGTAGACAGAGCCTCCTCAAAGAACTCAATAAGAGCCCCTCAGAAGCAGTAACATCCAAGTTTCGCCAGTTCTTTCTGAAGCTACAGTAGCAGCCATTTCTAGGATATCTGTGGTTCATAATGAGCCGGTTTCTTAGTCCCAGTGAGCCGAAAGGCGCTCGGTTTCAAATGGCACAATTTCCAGCGCCTGAAACAATGTCTGACACCTCGAGTTAAATCTCTGTTGAATTATTAAATGAACAAATGGAAATGGAAGAGGGATGAACAGGAGAGACTAACATCGTTTTACATAATGACGTGAAAGACTAACTTCACTGTGGTTTGAGACTTACGAATTAAGGGACAATCAGGAAAAGAAATCTATTCTCTATACATTCAGACCAAACTCAAACATCTGCTGAGGACAAGCAGGTGATGTGGCCAAATGGCGGCAGTGCCCGTGTAAGTGCACGTGAAGACATTGCTGAGCGGAGGAGAGAGCAGCAAACTGAGGAGAGCACACCCTATCTCAAGGGGGCGAAGCTGACTCAGCTCCAGCCCATTGTCGCCATATGGGAATGCAGGCCCAATTTTGCTAGTTCTTCCAGTTTTTTAAGAGAAGACTGAAGTCTAGATTTTTATATGAAAACTCCAAAATTTTAAGTGTTGGCTCAAAATTTAAAGACAGTCAGACTATGTCTGTGTATTTTGCACACATATCTGGCCAGAAACCTCTCATTTTAACTTTACTGTGTCTGAGAATATTTATCCTTAGGACATGGAGTGTGTGTGTTTGTGTGTCTGTGTACGTGTGTGTTGTTGCTATAATAATTACCTCATGGTAACTGAGAAGAACAAAGAGGGAAGTCACGCTGGGGAGAGGGTTTTTAAGCACTGGGGTGAGCTAGTGGAAAAGTACTGGAGGACGTATCTTTAGGGGAAAGCATGATCAATGTGATGTGTCGAGCACATTGAGTTATTCCTGAATTTACAAATACTTTTTTCTCTGTGATTAAGCCATCTGTGTTTGCTAATTGACACCCAAATAGAAGTCAGGCTCCTACCCTCCCATAAAGACTGGGAGACACTGGTGCTACCTCCCTTGATGATTACATATCAAAGGAAGTCTCCCAGGTCCTTGAGGAAGACATTCCTGGGTTGTAAAACTGGCAAGAAGATTTTTAAGATATTTACACCTCCAAGGGAGCAGAGACAGAATGTACAATTACAAGTTTTCTAAAGTAAATGCTCTAAGAAAAGGGAGGTCAGGGGCCTAGAGTCATGAAGAAGCCTGTCTAAAGTTTAACCAAGCTGGAGGGAATGTTAAGGTCTTAGAGTGATGGTAGATGTTGATGTTTAGCAAGCTACACAGCAGTAGATCAGAAACAAACGTAAATTCTAGACATTTCAGCCCTAAAGTCCTCTCCTCCTTTCCCTTACATCCCCCCTCCACTGCCTAGTGCATCATGGAAACCATGGTATGCCAGTGGTGGCAGCTAAGCAAGAATTCTGTCCATTCAAGAACTTGGAGGAGGACACCATGCTGCCCCTGTAACAGGGGAATTTACCTGGTATCTAGGTATCTAGCAACCCGTGCTTATAACTGCACCAGTGCCATGTGCTTTCACCAGCTGTGCAACATTGGGCGCCTTGGTCACTTTGTTTCCAAATGGACATAATAAATACATACTACAAAGACAAAATTGTGCCATTTGGGACAACATGGGTGAACCTCGAGGGTATTATGCTAACTGAAATCAGCCAAAGACAAACACCACATGATTTCACTCATGTGGAAGATAAACAAACATATGGATAAAGAGAACAGATTAGTGGTTACCAGAGGGGGTGGAGGTGGGAGTGGGGTGAAAGGGGTAAAGGGGCACATACATATGGTGACAGATAAAAACTAGACTATTGGTGGTGAACACTGTGCAGTCTATACAGAAACTGATATATAATAATGTACACCTGAAATTTACACATGTTATAAGCCAATACGACCTCAATAAAATTTTTAAAAATGCATACTACACAGCATTTGTATGAGGAGTAAATCTGATCTGTGTAAAGCACTCAGCATGGTGCCTGGCATACAGTAACAACTCAATAAGTGGTAACTATCACTGTTTCAGCCAGTTCTTATCTATGCTATTATATTTTTCTCATAGAATGATGAATATACTATGATACTAATATCAATAAAACATACAGAGAGGTGGAAGAAAAGTTAGAAGAATCATGACTTAAAACTACCAAAACAGAGCAGAAGAAACTATCAGTGAGGCAGTAACTATTTCCAAAGAGCCATGCCCTACCTTCTACAACTCCACCCTATATTCTGCCCAATTTTCCTTAATCTTGTTCCCTCAAACTTAATATTTCCCCACGTAGATCTCAAATCTTCATATTATTTAGCCCAAGGATATAATGCAATTATTAAAAATTACAATCTTTGTTTTGTTTCCTTTCTTATATTTATTACTTGTAGCATTTTACTTAATACTATTTACTCTTTGAAAGCCTATGTGGGAGCTAATTGACTTTTCAGGAAGTTCTTTGCAAATTCTCCCCCGAAAAGATTTTCCTTTGTTTGTATCTTGGTAGCAATTCTCAAGATTTGGACTCTGGCGTTGTAATTGTGCTCAGAGTATCTACACAGACGTGGTCTGTTTCATCATCCAATGAGCTCTGCCTGTTTGTGGATGTGACACTCCAGTGGAAGGAAGCCAAGAGCCTATAGTAGCGATCCTGGGGAAAAGTTAAGCAGCTGTGGCCGTGTAATTTAAAACCTCTGAAAAGTGTGCTGTGGTCCGTGCACAGCGTTAGTATAACATGAGCTGGATGTAGCCCGTTCTCCGGACTTCCTCCCCTGCTGCAGGCAAGAGAAGACTGAAAGACAAACCTGGATGCAGCTGGAAATGTCCAAATAGATGAGCTCCCTAAATTCAGGTACCGTAAACCTTTGTGAACTTTCTGCAATAAGCCAAACTAAAATTTTGTAAATTGTAGAAGTACCTGAAGAGACAGGGCAAGAGAAGAGAGGAAGAAAAGGGATTATACTTTAGTTGTTTTCTCACATCTGTCTTAAGCCACTATGACAGAGGAGTTAAACTGTAAATTAATCTTTTCTCCTTGCAGATGTTCAACAGTTGAACTTGATTGTTAATTCTCTTACTGTTAAGGAGATTGCAGTAGTATATCAGATAATGCATAATTACATTTCAAATGAAACTAAAGATTTGCCTAGATTTTTAAAAAGCTGATTAGGATAAAGCTTTGGGGGCTGGGAGGTTTGTGCATTCATATTGTTTGGAAATTAGTTTGTGCTTGAAACCAAAGTTACAGAGTTTGCGTTATTGTTGCATTTAGGTTTTATCTTTGGAGCGCCAAAATAATGTGCAAAATGTCTAGAAGGAGAAACCCTTTGTAAACATTTAAATGGCGATTAACTGCTACATGAGAGTGAGGATTTGGGGCAGAAAAGAGGCAAAGTTGAACATAATAGCTCTTAAAATGGACATGATAAGCAAATGGTTTGAAAAAAATAGATTTGAATATGCATGATTTTGTAAGTAACATTTTCATTATTATGAACAATCTCTGAGAGGTTAGGGAAGTTGCAGTAAGTGTCAGGGCTGGAATTTGAATCCAATTTGATCAGATTCCAAAACCTTATGTATTTTCCATTGTGTCATGCTGCCTGCTTCACTACTCCTTTCTCCAAATTAGAGACCTAAAGAGTTGTTAAAAATGGCAACCTCCCAGCCCCATCCCAAGAAAATTGTGCTTTACTCAGCTGAATCACAAGGCTACACCCAGGGAGAGGACGATAAAGCATTTCCAAAACTTTAGCATAGCTCTTAGTTAACTCAAGGGCCCCAAGAGTGGGGACATGTCTTTGGGACGTTAGTGGTGCTTTCTCCTTCATGGCTCTGCCCACCCAGCCACTGGGGAATCCAGAAGGCATCCCTTTGTGTTCTGATGAATCTCAGGGACACAGCCATTACCAGAGGGAAACGTGTGTTCTGAATCAAATAATCTGCTAGGGAATGGGAATCATTATATCATATAGATGTGTTTTTCAAATTTTAGGAATAAATCTGATTAATGGTCAATGCTTGCATATCTTATTTCCCATTTATGTGAAGGTAAACTTTATTAGAGCGTCTTCTTCCCACTTTTCAGTCTTTTTGCTTTCTAATTTGCTGTTAAACTGTTGCAGATCACAAACCAAGAACATGTTGTTAATTCCATTACAAGAGAGGGCAGTAGTGGGAGTTCTTGCACTTCTAAAATATGCCACGCTTAGGAAGGCTTGGAAAATTGTCCACGAAATGTCCTCAAACTGTGAGCCCTTGCCTGCTAGTACAGGCTTGTCCTAATTACCCTCCTTTTTTCTGGAAGCTCTCATTTTGGTCATGGTGGTAATGCCATGTTGAATGTGTTTCAAGTGCAGTGAGATTGATAGCCTGTGATATAGTTTTTATTCATCTCATGTGTTGCTCACTCATTTGCAGACTGTTCTTAACCCATTTTTAAGCTCTGTATATCAATCAGTCTTGCTTTAACTATAATAATGCAACTGTTACTTACAAAATCATGCCTATTCAAATCTATTCAAATCTGGTCCAAGCCTATTGCTGGATTCCTTTAAGTCCATGTGATCAGTTAACAAATACTAGGGGTTCTTAACTTTTTCTGTGTCACAGATAGCTATGAATCTACGGACCCTTTGTCAGCATAATGTTTTTAATGCATAAAATAAAATACTTTAGATTACAAAGGCAGCCAATTATATTGAAAGATATTATTATCAAAATAGTTTTAAAAACCAAATGAGTGGAATAATAATATATGTGCTTCTTTATCAACATATTAAATAACAAGATCTAGTGGCAGGTCTAATAACTACAATGATTTTGAAGTAGTGATGAGTGCCAATGATATTTCAAAATATTTGTAACAACTATAGTAAGAAAATATTTGTGACTGATATGATGAAAGAGCCCCAGGGACTGCTAATACTACTCTGATTTTTTACCTACATTTCAGCTAGAGCTTAGTGAAAATAGAGAATTTTTTCTCCTATCAAAATTCATGGAAACCTTGAATCCCATCCCTGGTCTCCTTGGGGGATCCACTGACCCCGGGTTAAGAACCTCGAGTTTGGCAAACGTGGTTGTTCATTAGACAAAATGACTTGCAGATTGAAAGTCTCTAGATGGCTCTCTTCATAGTGGAACTTCACGGGAACCATTGGTTTGAAAGCAAAGCAAAGGAATCTTGAGTGGTCCTGTAAGGCCTTTCTAGGGATTTACAGTGCTGCAGACTTAAAGCTGCACCACGGAATGGGAAAAGTATCAGCTGACAGTGAACTCGTACTTGGCGAATTTTATGCAATACTGCTACTTCTTATTCGAAATTTTGGCAAAAAAACAAAATATGTCCCTTACATGAGTAAGATCTGATTCACCATTTTCCCAACCCAGAGACAACTTGATAATTCTAATTCCACTTTGAGGCAGTGTTTGCAGCCTGTGTTTATCTTTTCCTAATTATTTGACAACTAACTGTTTCTTGGGAGGGGGTTCTCTTTGAGGTTTATTTATTTTTCTACTGCTACTGTAATCTTTAAGAAATCACAATTCTTATAGAAATGACAGAGATAATTTTTTCTCCTTTCTTTTGACTTTTTTCCATTAAAGAATTGAGGGCTTCTGGGTTAGATCTCCAACACTTGAGGGAGTTACTACTGAAAGGAATGTAGAATTACATATTTAAATGAAACTTTTTCTGAAAAATCACCAAGACAAGACTGGTAAATCCTCTGTAAAAGAGAGGCTTGCATGTGGATTCTTTTGAGTTGAGTGTTGAGCTCTTTAGTTTCACAGAGGCAGTTTTGTGTACTAGAATTCCTGCAGAAAATCCAAAGGCAGTGATGTGACCTCCTATTTACAAGGTAGACCTTGAGGATGCCCAGTCAAGGCAACAGCTTACTCTGTCTGCCCCAGTCTGATGGGCGCTGGTGAGACTATAGAACATGAGAGTGCCTGCCAATAAGAACTTTCCAATCCAATTGAAGCATCAATTCATCTATAAGAAAAGTAATTAGACACCATGCCATTCTAGCATACAAGGCTCCGTTAAGGAGCAAAGATCATAGCAGCTTTACTCACCACTGTATGCCCAGAATGCCTTGCACATAGTAGTTGGTCAAGGCACGGTGAATAAGTGAATGAAGGTTGCTATTAGAATTCAGAGAAAGGAGAAATCAACTATGGACTTCTGGTAGATGGTGTGACTTGAGGTGTAAAGGCTATGGATTCGCAGAGAGAAAGAAACAGGCATTCCAGCTGTAGAGAAAGAGAAGCATGTAGCAGTCAGATGACCAGAGTTAAGGGCTTCTCTTGGGAAACCTGGGCAGATAAGTTTGATCAGATAAGGTTAAGGGACAGTAAGGGACGAGTCTAGACCTTAAGCATGTCAAAGACATGATAGGACAAATGTTCCAGGATGATACTTTGTGCAGTATAACTCAGGGCAGATTGACAGGAAGGGAGATCAGAGGTGGAACCGTCAGTATACTATGCCAAATGAGGTGCTGAGGGTGCCACCTAGGTTGTGGCAATAGGAATAAATGGAAAGGGTTTAATTCAAGAAATAGTTAGAAGCAAAAGTGTCCTGGAATGGGCATGAACTATGGGAAGCCCTAATTTTCAACTTTAGAAAACTGAACAAGTCCCTGAAGAAGTGAGGAAAAATATCTTTAAAAAACCCTGGCAAATCAATGTTGCTAAGAAGGGCAAACAAATTACATTTTTCTTCTGGCAAATGATGTCTTTGGAAAGAAAGACTAAAGCAATGAAGAAAGACAGCAGCAACAAACAACATTTCTCTGGTTATTTATAATTTAAAGAATACTTTTGCATACCCAAGCATGTTTGAAACACTGGAAAACAGAGCAAAATTAGAGAATTGTTATGAAATGTATTTTTATCATAGATAAGTCAGTGTACATTTTTGTCATATGACAAAACACATCAGTATCAAGTAGCATTTATCCCAAATGTTCTCACAATGGCAAGAACTAGAAGTTAAAATCAAAACAAAATTCTCATTTTGGGTCCTACTTTTCTATCTGTTGCCCACTAAAGACATAGCTACATTTGTAAAATAAATGTCCCTAAAAAATTATGCATAGCTGTAGTATTATTTTAAATTTCCTAGGAGAAAAGGTTATCTCAAAGTATGATTGGAAAAAATGTTTTAAGTTAAAAAATAATTTATAATGTGATATATGATGCTCCCAAATCATCTACTTTGTAAATTCACATTATCAGATTATCACATATGGATTTATGTGATATGGATTTATATATACATATATATATATACATACACACACATGCACATATATTCTCTCTATATATGTATATGCAAACACACATATATCCATGCACATATATGTCTTAATATGGAATGTCTAAAGAAAAGTATTGAGTAATGTCCTACATTGCAGGACTAGAGGACCTTATAGAAGGACTGAAGGGGTCAGGGGCCCTCTACAGGGGTGTTGCTGGAGCTGGCTTGTACCAGCTCATGAGAGCCAATCGTTAGCGTCTCTTCCCAACTCCCCATTCAGTGACGTCATGTTGGCAGCTTAAAATCGGCCTTGGTGGAAGTATTTACACCACAGAAATCAGTAAATCCTACACATCGGAGCATCTCCTTACTCCCTACCCCAGCCAGTTACTAAACATTTGCTGGAACAATGCTATCCTTGGAACACACTTTGAGAACTACTGATATAGAGAATGTGGTATGCTGAGGAACTGTATGTAGAGATTAAAATGATGAAAGAGAACAGGACAGGAATAAAAATTTGAACTAAAATGAAAGGGGATTCTTAAGACAAAACCTGAACAAATGGAATAGAAGCATTAAAAAGAAGAATATCCAGGGGGTGTAGCAATTAAGTTCGCGGGCTCTGCTTTGGCTGCCCAGGGTTCACAAGTTCTGATCCCGGGCGCGCACCGACGCACCGCACGCACCACTTAGCAAGCCATGCTGTGGCAGCGTCCCATATAAAGTAGAGGAAGATGGGCACGAATGTTAGCCCAGGGCCAGTCTTCCTCAGCAAAAAGAGGAGGATTGGCAACAGATGTTAGCTCAGGGCTAATCTTCCTCAAAAGAAAAATATCTTCCACGGCTGAGAAAAGATCTAAGTTTTAATGTTCAAAAGGTTTACCATGTTCCAGGAAAAATTAATTGAAAGAACACAATTAAGTTTGGAAAATGTTTTTAAGTTCTCAGAGAAAAGGACATTTTTGCAAGCATCTTGGCAGAAAAAATAGGTTACCAACAAAGGAACAAAAAATCAAGCTGGCTTTAGACTTCTCTTTAACCTGAAATATCAAAGGTTATGGAGCAACATTTGTGGAGCTTTATGGATAAAATGAAGAATGTGATTCAACAACAATACACCAAGAGAAGTTGTTGTTCATCCTCCAAGACAATAGGAAGTCATTTTCAGAAAGCAATGGCTGAAAAATCAAACACTCATGCGTCTTTCAAGATAAAGAGTTTTTAAAACTATATTTCAGTCATCATAGGATGAATCAAAATCAAAATTAAAGAACAAGGAAATTGTGGAGCAAATGGAACATCAGTGAACGACAAAACTCGAGTTGGGACTACATAGTCTTTATAAATACAATTACGATATTGAGTACAAACACCAAAATCAGTATTAAAAGGAAAGTTAAATGATGAACAAAAATCATGATTAATATGTGTGTACATACAGGGGAGTGGAAGTGGAGGAGTGTCAAGTTCAAGAGAGAATTAAAGTGTATTAGATCTCTTGTCTAACACAGGGGGAGCCAAAGTCATTTTTTCATGATGACTTTGATAATTAGAGAAATGCACGTTCTTAAAAAAACATACAAATAGCCACTAGTTAGAATACACAACAGAATGTGCACATACCTTTGAAATATCTTCAGCTTATAAAAGTAGACAACATAGTTGATCAGCAAAAGGCAGAATGAGTACAGCACAGTAACATAAAAATCAAAAATATAAGGCAAGATTATAAAAGACCATATACTCAATTTTGAAAAGAAATATTAACCTTTTAAACTACCCTTTTAAAAAGGCAAAGAGAGTGAAGATTTTAAAAAACAGATGTTAGCTACATGCTGCATATAAAAGACAAATCTAAAATACAGTGACACAAAGGTTAAAAATAAAGGGATATGTAAAGTTATTCCACAAAAGCACAAGCAAAAGAAAACAAAGGTGATTGTATTAATAGCAGATAAAAAAAATTCAAGGCAAAGAAACATCAAGCAGGATAAAGAATATAATTTTATGTGAATAAATGCTACAATCTATAATGAAACATACTACTTATTAATCTTTATATATAAAATAATAGCATCAAAACAAATTAAAAGAAGTTTGATTATAATAAGAGACTAATATACTATGACATCAAGAATTTATACATATATGCACACATATACACACAGAAATTTTGTTTTCTAAAAGAAATTCTCTTGTTTTAAACATTCATGGATGATTTACTGAAATTAATTATATAAGCTAGTCCACCAAGAAATCTCAATAAATTTCAAAAAAGTAGAAATAATTCAGTCTGCATTTCTTGGGACCACAGTGTACAAAACTAGAAATTAAAGACAGAAGCTTAATCAAAGAAACTTCAACCACTTGGAACCAAAATTCTCTTCAAAATAATTATTGGGTCAGAGAGGAAATCAAATATACAACAGTTTGAAACTGAGAAAATGAGAACAATACTTATCAAATCTTATATAAGCTTTGCCTAAATTCTTATTTAGAGGTAATTTCATAGTCCTATTTTTTTTTATTTTAAAAGGAAAGAAATTAATTAAAACATACAAATGAAAAGCTGAGTCCAAAAATGACCATTTAGAAAATATAATGAGAAAATGTAAACAGAAAGGATACCATTCACAACAGCAATTAAAAAGATACATAGGAATAACTTTCACAAAGATTATCCATATGAATAAAATAAAATGTTATTGAGACATTTAAGTACATTTGAAAAAAACATGTAGAAGTAGACTATGTTCTTGATACGGAGATTAAATATTGTAAGAATATAAATTAGTTCCTAATTTATTTTCTCTTTAATTATTGGCAAATGGGTTAATATCTAACAACTGGTTCTTCAAAAAAATGTATGCATATAAATGTATACACGTTTACTATAAATTTGTACATCTTACTATTTTATATTTGTTATTTTACAGATATAAAAGATGTGTAGCACACAACTTAAAAATAATAATAAAATACACTATTCCTTTTATTGTAAATTCCATATAGTCAGTCAGTTCTCACATAAGGATTTCAATGAGTTTTGCCAAACTCATAAAGGTAACTAGTTCTTTTGTCTTCTCCTTTATGCTCAAAGGAAAAATAAAACCTGTCACTGCTGTCTTTCTTGTTTTCACCAAAAAAATAAAAATAAAGTTCAAAAAAATTTGAGGAATAGGTATAGTTCCATGATGACTATTTTAATCTACATTAAATGAGTAACACAAAAGTGAAACAACAAAATGTATGTCCAGACTTCACTCATTCATCAATGACATAAGTGACTTCTTTGCTGGATCAGATAATAGATTTCAAGTAGTGAAAGAATATTTCCTCAACTTTTTATGCTATTACCAATGTTGGAGCTAGAGACATGACACACTTTTAAGTTTAATCTGCTTTGTTAATTGTTTTCTCTGTCATTTTCTCAAGTCTAAACAATCAACAGAAAAATAAATTAAGCCCTAATTTGTATTGTTTGCCATTTCTATGGGAATATTCCCATTTTGGCTGATTCCAAGCTACCAATGAGAGTCACTGAACATGAAGTTGGGAAGAGATGCACAGTACCACACTCTTCTGTAATATTTTCACTGTAAAGATATGATGGACATAAATAACCTCGAAACATAGAGAATAGTAACACGTAGAAAAATATTAGAAAATGATGAGTTTTGTGTATTTTCTGCCTATATAAGAATGTGAGATATATAAGGAATAATATCACACATCAATTGAGAAAAGGTTTATTCAGTAAACGATGCTGGAATAATTGGTTAGTTATTTAACAATTCTTAAAATGTAAGAAGTATTCTTAGCTCATAGACTGCACAAAAACGGGCTTTGGGCTGCACGGGTCATAGTTTGCTGAATGAACCCTGGTAGATCATTGCTTCCTTTATCCACCAAAATAAATTCTAGACTGATTATAGATTTAAGTAAAAAAAAAAAAAAAACCATAAAAGAAAAAAATATAAGTAAATATTATCAGATGCCTGGAAGGAGGAAAACCCTCTATGTTTAAAAGTATCAAAAGAAATTTCAAAGGAAAGGTTTGATAGATGTGGAAACTCAATTAAAAAGATAAACAGAAAATATGTTATCACTTTTTTTAGGCTTGCACATTTCCAGAAAATGGTTAGAGTCACAAGATAAGGAAAATTACCACCTAGAATTTCCTCTGTTTAAGCTTTTCCAAGTACCTTGCTGCTATTTTTCAAAGGATCTCTAAACGTTTTATTTTCAAAAATGGTTCATTCCTTCACAATAGTTCGAAAAATGTTTTGAATCTCTCCCAATATGATCCTATACTCTTCCTGATTAGCCTTTCCTTGGTGAAAATAAAGAATAATTGAGTGACATAAATTTGTGACAAATTTGAATATTCTGTCAGTTCTTGGTGATGTCTTGTGTTCTTCCGTCCCTTCTCCTCCAAAGAAGTGCTGGCTGAGGAAAAGCAACATTCCTGTTGTCAACAGCCCAGAGATCAAAAAACAACCAGTGTCAGGTTCCCTGGAGGTGGGGCGGTCCTCACAGGTAACCAGAGCATGGCAACAGGGAATCTGGGACAGCAGTGCTCAAAGTCTAGGGAGGCAAGACATTGGTGTTCTGTAGTAGAGAAGTCTCAGACACCAGACTGGAATTTAGGGGCCAGGATCCAATGCTCAGGAAGCGGGGACCAGAAAGAGACAGGCAGAGCCTAACTCAAGCCACTGGGCACCTTGCTACAAGAGTGACAGAAACTCTGACCAAGGCAGAGGGCCAATTATTCAACCTGGGCCCACCAAGGAGGAAGAGGATATGCACCAGCTTGGGGACATAAAAGAAGCAGTCTTTTTATCAAAGAATAGTGGTGCCACAGTGGAAAGGTGTTGGTAAAAGGAGCACTGCCTTTGGGGAATGTTAGAGCAAGCCAGAGCCTGGAGGAGCATAACTATTTTCAGTGTAATATGAATAACACAAGCATTACCTCGGCAGGAGTCTCATCGTCTGGTTGGTGATAGTTGTGTTAGATTGAGATACAGGAGTCCACAACAGCCCTCAGAGATTATCTCATCGATTCATCCTGCTTAAAAACCGAGGGAATAATCTTATCGAAGTCTAATAGGCTTTGCTATTTCCCCATCACCTCTCTGTCATCTCTCTCCCTGCTCCAAAAAAGTATATGCAAGACTTGGCTTGGTCTCTTCATATTCTGTGATATTAGTTGTAAATCAAATTAAATAGAAGGTGATGGTTTTGCTTGATGCTCCACTACTCCCTCTTTCCTTTTCTTTGAAAATAAAGTCCCATTCCATCACAATGACGCTTCATGAAAATTTGAACCCTTACAAGTTCAACTCTGTGACCAAAAATTGGAGCTCAAGTATCAAAGTGTCAAACACTCCTGACTCTTCAGAAGCACAAAAGTGATTAAAAACAAATCCATTTTTGAACTCACTAAAATCATTCTGAAAGACAGGAATAGTAAATGCTCTCAACTGGACTTCATTAAAAGTTAGTCCATATTTATACATATCTATTTATATTTAGATGTATGTGCATGTGTGTAATTAAGTTTCTGTAGATCTGTTACTGAAGATAGTAAAACAGCTAAACAGATTTTCACCAAATTTATGGTAAGTTTGAGATGGCCTGAAGTAAAATATAGGCTACATACATGTTGGACAGGAAATTCAGTGTTGGGGGTAGGGTGGGGGAGAATTTCAAAGATTCAAGCAACTCTCTCCTGAGAGCTGAAACTGAGGTACAAGAGAATAGTGTGACTGTGACATGAAAGAGACAGAACAAACTGATTTCAAGCATGAGCCCCAAATTGACATTTACAAGACCAGATGAATTGCAAGCTTTGATTGCAATGGAACAGCTTCTCATATGGGTAACTACTTACAAAATGCTCTAGAATGAGTAGCAGCAGGTTTTTATTTATTTAATGATGGTTGATGAGTCTCCCAAGAAACACTGGAGAGGTCAGCTAGTTTTAAATATTTGTGGTCCATTGGTCCTAGAAAGAATAGGCCGTTGCAGGAAGAGGTAAATTGTCACTTGGCTAGGAGATGTGGTTTGGGGAGGAATTCTGCATGGTCAATATGGCCACCCCCAACACCACTAAGGATGGCAAAAGTTTATTTTCAGCAGGATCATCAATGTTTAACATTCTATTCCGAGCTATTTCCTGGAGTCATGGATATTAAAATAACAAAATCCTGCAGGTCAGAGGTTCTATCGCATGGGATAGGAATTGGTTGATTTACAGGGGCAGCAACCACACCTTACAGAGAACACAAGCTTCTTTTTTAAGTTGTAAAACTGTAGTTCTGCTGTAGGAAAGGTTCTGTGTGCCAGTGCTGCGTGAGTACAAGTGCAGGGCTTTTGATAAACACTGTACTCTTACCACTGCATTTAAGCTGCCAGCAATTTTTCTAGATACTCCACTGCCAAAATGTAGGATTTGGATAGATAAAAAATGTACAGTACAATTTTCCCAGCAGGAACAGAGAGAACGATCATGTGTGGCACTGTAGTTTATTACAAACAAAATCTATCTTCAAAAATGTTCATGGTGCCAATCAAAGTGATTGTGCACATGCTGGAAGACTGGCAAAAATGCAAATGAGATGGGGCAAGGATGGGATAGAAAGCTGTTTATACACCCTCAGAGAGGTAGCCACAGAGAAGATGAAAATGTGGTGGGCAGGAAGAGGAAGATGGAGTATGCTTTATGTACCACAGAGGAATCTGATTTTCACTTTGAGACAAGGAGGCAAACCATTCTCTGCATTTTCCTGTCTGGAGGAGCTTGGACATCCAAATAAATTCAGATAAATCCTAGTCCCAGTATTTAAAAGAACTCAAAGTTCAATCCCCAAATGCTTGAGCACATACATGCAAAAACTATTTGAGTGTCTATATTGCAGAACGGTTTATGAATTTGTCCACAATGCACTCAAGTATTTCTGAATGTAATATATTCATAAGGCAGGCTTCTTAGAAATCAAACTTTTTTGGATGAATGTTATTCAACTCCTTAAATGTAAACCTGTCTCCTAGTCTATGTCTCAAAGGGAAAAACAATAGCAAAATAGCTGGATAAAATTATCAGCCCTGTATATTATTAGACTCCAAAATTGAAAAAGACTTTGATGTTCACAAATTCAATGCAGATGGCATTGTTTTGACTTTCCTATTAGAAAGTCAAATTTAAAGAATATAGTCTTTTATTCAAGCGCAGAACTGAAGCTCCCTGAGGGCAGGAATTGAAACTCTACTCATTTTAAATTCCCTATAACACTTTAATATTTTATAACATATAAATTCCCCGTATATCTTCATACATATATAAAGATAACTATATCTTTAACATAGTAGGTACTAAAAATATCCACAGAAAGAATGAAATAGAGTAGAAATTTGAAAGAAGGAGCTATAATGATGAGGGTGGGGAGGCAGCAAGGAGAAGCCAATTTATGAAGTCTTTTCACTTGTGCCAAGGGGTGTGGACGTCATCCTGGAGTTGGTGCTTAATACGGGGCATGACACAATCAGGCTCTTCATTCTCTTCCCTCCTATCTCCTCAGGCACTTGCTCCATGAGTTGCTTGAAGTGAGTCTCTACCAGCCTCTAAATACCTAAGACAGGTTTCCCTGCCTCTGTTTTCCTTCTGCCACCCCTTTAGTCACTTTTCTGGAAAGATCAGCTTATACCTAATGCCTCATTTTCTCACCTCTTGTCTACTTCACAATTCACAACAGTTAGATTTCTGCCCAAATATCCCACTGAAACTGTTCTAGCAAAAGTCACCAGTCACTTTCTAATTCTCAAATCCAGGAGGCACTGCTCGGTCCTCCTCTTACCTGCTCACTTTGGTCACTTCTGAAACTCGTCACTCTCTTCCCTTTTGTGATACCTCTCTGTTTTCAACCTACTTCTCTTACTGTTCCTTCTTAAGATCCTTTGTTATTTCTTCTTCTCAGCCTGCTCCTAAAAGTCAGAGTTCCCCAAGGTTCAATCCTAAATCCTCTTCTCTTCTCACACCTCTCTCTCTCTAGGTTGAGGTTATTCACTTTTGTAATGTTAAGTACGACTTATACCTAGGTGTCAACCGAAGATGGAATCTCAAGTTCTAGCCAATGTTGTCCATTACCTACTTGCTATCTCCATATAGTTTCATTCATTAAACAAATATTATAGAGTATTTACTATGCGAAGGTCTGTGCTGTGTGCTATCACTACCACAAAAAATGAGGCACAGCTCCTGCGCTTGGGCGTCTTAGGCTAGTGGGGGAGGCAGAAACACTGTGATAAGGGCTACCTATTATAAGAACCCAGAGGAGCAGCGGCGAACCCAGCCCTGGGAGTCAGTGATGTCTTAGTAAAGGAGGTGGTGCCTAAAGTAAGCCTTAAAGCCTGACAAAGAGGAGAACAGCACTGAGGACAAAAGGGAAGGGCATTCCAAGCAAAGAGCACAGCTTGATCAAAGGCAAAACTGCAAGGAGCCGCTTGGCACGTGCAGCCAAGAAAGCATAGCAGCTTGTGGTTGCTGAAGCTGTGTGTGCAGGAACTGCAGGGAGAGGAGGCTGGAAAGGGAGGCAGAGGCAAGACCACAGGGTCTCCAAGGCACAGTAATGTTAAAGAGCTTCGACTTCACGCAATAGTGTATATGACAAGTGTATGTATAGATGATGGAAGATGGGAGTGAAATGGTAAGATCTGCCTTTTAGAAGGAGTCTTATGTGCTCACAAGGTGGAAGACAGATTGGAGGTAGAAGAAAGCCTGGATACAGGGACCAGGAAGGAGTTGGCTAGGGTTCCACGTTCATTTCCGTCTTCTTTGGCACCACAGATGATAGCCATGAAGACCACTAAAATGAGCCTATTGTCTCTCCTGGGACCCAGTTTTTTCTGTCTCATACACACATGGCCTTACATATAAATATAGTTCATTTTTGTGTAATTGTTGAAAAGTTTCCTCTTTCCAGAGACTCTAACCTTGGGATATATCTACATGATTAATAACAGCATTATACAAATGGGATAAAATTTCTTGCCAATGTTTAACATAGTTTGCCTTTTTCCATATTTAATCCTAAATGATCACACAGGCATGTATTTTGGCAAAACCTCTGTGTATTAGCACTCCAACGTAGCCAGCCTGAATCTATATAAACAACAGTAAAACAAGCTTCTCATACTCACCGTGAGTATTGGGCAGTCAGAGATGTTCAGCTCTTGCGAATTTCTACAGAGACCTAAATCAAACAAGTTACACATCACTAAACAACATATTACAAATGTTTAAACTTAAAGTTTTTCCATCCTACATTCAATGCAATGTATTCATTAGAAAACAAACAAAAACCTTGGCAAGTAACTTTTTCTAAGTATATGGTTACTCTTCTCAGAAAAATGATTTCTTTTGGCTTTAAAAATAAAATATATACACATGTTTATTATTGTTTGAGGATTACAGAAGGAAGGGGAAAAAAGAAAAATGTTACTTTGGGGAAAACAGTATATACTTAGAGCTTTCGAAGCATTTGAGGAAAACCAACTTGCTTTTTCTGTGGCATGACTTTTTTGTTCATTTTTGGTTTTTGTTTCCTTTTAACAATTTATTATGAGAATTTTTAAACATGTAAAAAAGTTTAAAGAATTGAAGAATTATATACCCACCACCTAGATTCTATAATTTATATTTTACTGTATTTGCTTTATCACATATCCGCCTGTAGATCCATCTCTCTATCCCTCAATCCATCTTATTTTTTATGCATTTTAAATAAGTTGCAGACATCAGCACACTTCCCCTCCCAAATACTTCAGCATGCATATCATAAATAATTCAGCATATATAATAATTAACAAAATATTTTTGCTTTTTTTAGGTTACATTTACATACAATTTACAGTGAATTGCAGATAGAGAAGTAGAGGGTCAGAGAGGCCAATTGCCTGATTAGCTCTGGGACCAGAGGCAAGTGCACAGTTTATGGTCTCGCAGGGAAGACGAGACATGTATACAAAGAGCTAGACAGCAAAGTGTTACACAATCAGTGCTCTGGGTCCTAGACCGACAGTAAGTGAAACTCCACACCGGAGACAGAAGAGAAGCAGTTAGGGGAGGGGATGCAAAAGAGTGTGGAGGAATCTTGAGGCAAAGAAGGGGGAAGGCATTTGGGGTGGAGGAGACCCCATCAGGCAGGAAAATTCCAGACAAGGGGTGATCCTGGCGTTCACACTGCTGCAATGACTAGAAAACACATCTGCTGCTCATAACCACAGAGCCCCACAATAATAACAACAGAAATGTTATTAATTATAAATCCATTTTGAACATTTCTTCCTCTGCCAAGAATGGACTATGTTCTAAGTAATAAATGCAAACAAAAGCCACTTTCAGAATTAAAAAAATGAAAATAATTCTTAAAAATGTGCAGATCTCGAAAGTTATCATTAATACTTATTAAGGAAAAAAATGGATTCTCAAAAAAATATAACTAAGTTTATGAGATTAATATTTTTATCAAATAGTTACTTGAGAGTAATTCATGCATTCACCAAATATTTATCAAGAACCTGCTATGCACTAGAAACTTTACAGGTGCTGGAAATACGGCAGTGAACAAAATAGACAAAAATCCCTGCCCTTATGGCATTTACATCCCAGTTGAGGGAGACTGACAGTAAACAGAAGAAGTCAAATACCTACCTTGACAGGTGGTGATAAGTGCTCTGGAGAAAAATAAAACAAGAAAGGAGGTAGAGAGTGGCGGGCAAGTGGGAAGAGGTACCACTTTAAATAGAGCAGTCAGAGAAGGCAACATGTGAGCCAAGATGTGCAGGAGATGACAAGGACAGTTGCAATGTATCCTGAGCATTTCTGGAGCCCACATTCAACATGACTGGTGATTGGGAGACAGTAAAGGAAAGAAACAAGTAAGCTCAGGGGGACAGCCATTGGAGTCCTACTCTTGTTTGCACATCTCAAGGCTGTAGGGAGAATCCCTTTCATTTCTTGAATCCAATGTGATGATAAACTACAGGTTTCAGTTTTCAGAATGCTAAGCCCTAACACTGTGGAGTACTTCCCCTGGACCAGGCGCTGTGAAGAGTCTTACACACATGAGCCCGTTTAATCCTCCCAGCAATACTAGAAGATCCTCAGCCCCATTTTACAGATCCTGAAGATCCAGTTAAATAATTAGCCTGAGGTCACACAGTTAAGCAAGTAGGAGAGCCTTGATTCAAATTCAGGGCCCAAACATTTAGCTGCTACACCAGGCAAGTAGGAGGGTGTGGAGCCTTCTACACTACTGTTCTGTATGTGCCTTTATTAACTGGAATGCCTTTGCTTTAAAAAAAAGCTGCTATTTGCAAAGGTACATGCACCCCTGTGTTCATTGCAGCGTTATTCACAATAGCCAAGACTTGGAAGCAACCTAAGTGCCCATCAAGGGACGAATGGATAAAGAAGATGTGGTATATATACACAATGGAATACTGCTCAGCCATAAGAAACGACGAAATCCAGCCATTTGTGACAACATGGATGGACATTGAGGGTATAATGCAAAGTGAAATAAGTCAGAGGGAGAAGGTCAAATACCGTATGATTTCCTTCATTAAGTAGTAGATAATAACAACAATAAACAAACACATAGGGACAGGGATTGGATTGGTGGTTACCAGAGGGGAAGGGGGGAGGGAGGAGGGTGAAAGGGATAATTCGGTACATGTGTGGTGATGGGTTGTAATTAGTATTTTGGTGGTGAACATGATGTAGTCCATGCAGAAATTGAAGTACAATGATGTACACCTGAAATTTTTACAATGTTATAAACCAATGTAACTGCAATAAACAAAAAATTTATTAAAAAAAAAAAAAAAAACCGGGGAAAAAAAAAAAAAGCTGCTATTATCTGTCAAATAACACAGTGACCATGGTCCTTAACTAAATATTTTTTTCTCCTGCAACCCAGGGACGCCACGGTACCTCAGCTGGGTCTCATTGTTCCTCAACTGCATTAGTTAAGGTTACCCAAACTTGGATTTCAAAGGAATACTTTCATTGTTCCATCTGTCACACCAAGTAATCGGGGCCAGGTGGATGTCAGGATGCGTGTGGTTACCATCATAATCCTGCTCTTCTTTTGCAAAGCCGCTGAGCTCCGCAAGGCAAGCCCTGGGGGTGTGAGAAACCGAGTGAATCATGGCCGGGCGGGTAGGGGCCGGAGCGGCTCCAACCCAGTCAAACGCTATGCATCAGGCCTCTCCTGCGAAGTGTACACCTATCTTCACGAGAAATACTTAGATTGTCAAGAAAGAAAACTAGTTTATGTCTTGCCTGGCTGGCCTCAGGATTTGCTGCATATGCTGTTAGCAAGAAACAAGATCCGCATATTGAAGAACAACATGTTTTCCAAGTTTAAAAAGCTAAAAAGCTTGGATCTGCAACAGAATGAGATCTCCAAAATTGAGAGTGAGGCTTTCTTTGGTTTAAATAAACTTACTACTCTGTTACTGCAGCACAACCAGATCAAAGTCTTGACAGAGGAGGTGTTCATCTACACACCCCTCCTGAGCTACCTGCGTCTGTATGATAACCCCTGGCGCTGTACCTGTGAGATGGAAACGCTCATTTCAATGCTGCAGATTCCAAGGAACCGGAATTTGGGGAACTATGCCAAGTGTGAAAGCCCACAAGAACTAAAAAATCAAAAACTGCGGCAGATTAAATCTGAACAGTTATGTAATGAAGAAGAAAAAGAAGAATTGGACCCGAAACCCCAAGTGTCAGGGAGGCCCCCAGTCATCAAGCCTGAGGTGGACTCGACACTTTGTCACAATTATGTGTTTCCCATACAAACGCTGGACTGCAAAAGGAAAGGTTTGTGAATTCCTTACTTTTTCGTTTTCATGGATGATTAAAAGTGCTCTTTGAATCTTATAACCCTCCCTGCACCCCACCATGCCTTAGAATTTCTGGTGTCACTTCCACCAGAAATCTTTCCTCAATGACAAGGGAATTTACTCCAAGCTTCTCTGGAGTCCAAACTCAAGGTGGTTGGTGATTTGAGGACGTTAGAGGAGGGTGGGAGATATGCTCAGGAGGGGCAGCCGTTTGGGTCCTACTCTTATTCGCTCATCGCAAGCTCTGGCCAGAAGAAATTCCCTTCATCTCAAATCGAATGTAATTTAATTTATGTAGGTAAACCAGTGGGTATGAAAACGAGCGCAAATGCTGTCTGTATAACCTGACTTATGGCAATTAAAGTCAAAACATGGTGTGTGTCCACGGGGAAATGATAACCTCAAGGAAAACCAGATGCAGAACAGGACAAGTGAGAGCACTGCGAGAGGGAGGCCAAGCAGGATGCAGTGATGGCGAATCTGTAGTTCTCATGACTTAGTCTCAAAATTTCAATAAACGCTTGCTAACATCCTAACATCTTAATTGTTCCCAAATTACCTCCCAAAAAGCAAAAAAAAATTGAAAAAACAAGGTTGAAAATGTTTAATCCAAGAACTATGAGACTAAGGAAATCTTTTCAGAATATCACCTACTTCCTGAAAATCATTCCTGGATTTTACATCCCACACTATCTTGGGCTAGTACTGTGCAGGATTTGCATATATAGGATAAATTCATGAAATAAGAAAGCAAATGGGAGATTTCAGTAGTGTGCTTGACATGTGAGTGAAGACGTTCTCAAAGTGTGCACTGGGTACCGCTAATCTACACTAGGATAACAAGCCAGATGACAGTGTCTATCTGTTTCATTTCTGGCGTGGATGAATAACATATTTGTAATATTAAATTAATGTCAGATGTCATTGAATTAGGGTCATATACAGCACGATGTCATTTCTTCCACTTATTTTGGGAGGTTTGGCTTTATTTTGTTTCGTTAGAACAGAAAGGAAAGGTTAAGAGGAACATAGAGACTCTGGCTCCTCTCCAGGGAACTATAGGTAGGAATTTGTTGACATTGAAGAAGCAGGCAGTCTGAGCCAGGAGTAAATTTGTTCATTTACCAGCAAAGTCGTGCTCAAGTCTTGTCCCCCTCTCTCTGACTCTGAAGGTGGCACCTGGTTAGATCACACCAGGGCCACGTGGCACGAAAAGCTTTGCTTACTACAACGCCCTGTGAACTGTATATAATTTGATGCCATAGTAGAGCAATTGCACTGTAAGCTGGGAGATACAGTTATGGGCTCCTCCGACTTTGAGGGAAAGTGCTCATTAATT